GGGGGGGGCGGTTACCGGTCGCTCCGGGCGCCCCGGAGGGTGCGGGGGGCCCGGGGTCTGTCCCTGCTCCCAGCCCGGCACACGGAGCTCCCGCGGAGGCGGCTTTTCCGCCGGGCACCCACGGCTGCAGGCGCAGGCAGGGGCACCTGGATGCCCCAGCGGGGTCTCTGCCCCAAACCCGTCCCATCTCTGCCCCAAACCCGTCCTCCCCCGGGCAGCTTCCCCGGGAGCGCGGTACCCCGGCGCCGCGGCCATCGGGGCTCCCCGCCGTAGGCCGCTGCCGGCGGTTATCCCCAGCAAGGATGCGTGCGGCTCCTGCCTGACTTTGAAGGCAGTGGCTTCTGCCGTAATGAGGCATAGCCCAGTTTCAGGTGGAGTTAGCCCCGGGGGAAACATGAAACCAAACTCCTCTTCATCAGAAACTGGGTAATGAGGCCGTTTGGGTTATTTGTAGCTCTCTGTGGGCTGGGCTGGCCTCTCCTGCCTCTCCCCAGGCAGAATCCCTCCTGAGGGACCCCAGATCGTTTTGCTAAACTCAAATTGCCCTGATTTGTGCTCGGAGAATCCAGGCTGTGAGTTAACCTGATGGGTGCCTGCAGCACTGGGTGCTACGGCCTCGCACCTAGACGGGTCTGGCTGTCCACTTTGGTGCCCAAAACCAGAATTTCTGCACCATTGATCCGAACTTGCTCATTTTTGAGGGGGTGCACCTGACCCCATGGGACACAGGGCCAGGACAGCATCGCTCTGTGGGGCTCTGTGGGTTTTGCAAGCGGGTCTGCAGCCAGCCTCTGCTCGTTCCTCCCTGTGCATCTCTGCTTTAACGCCAGCCCCATCTGGTTTCTCCTTCCCGGGGGCTCGGTCACCTTGGGCCTGGCGTCAGGGAGCAGCTGAGCTGCAGCGATCAGTGCTGCGACCTTGGCCGGCGTCCTTCAGAGCCGGCATCCTTCAGAGCCGGCATCCTTCAGAGCCAGCCTCGCACGGCTGAGTCCCCCGGCTGCCCGTGGCCAGGCCAGCCTGCGTGAGGGTGCAGGGACGCACACCCCTGCGACCCCGTCAATCCGCCCTGGCTGGCGCGGGCAGCCTCCTCTGAGTGTGCTGCCGCTGCGTCCCGCAGCCCGGGGCAGAGGCGGTGGCTGCTCCCCTCCGATCAGCCATTCAGGTCACTCCCGCATCGATCGGGTCTGGAGTGTGCTGATAAACTGACTTCAGAGCCACAGGGACACAGGGAGGCTGAAAGTCCGTGTCTGACCGGTCTGCGTGCTGTGGGCTGCCCGAGCGCATCCCCAGCCCCAGCCTGCTCCCGGCAGGCTCTCCCCATGCGCCGGCCCGCTGTCTTTGCTTTGCACCACATCTTCCCGCTGTGGGTCCGACCCCCGGCCGGGGGGACCCTCTGCTCCCCCCTCCTCGCACAGCCCAGGGCCAGGGTCCCCTGAGGCGGCTGCAGCCGGCCCTGTGCCACCCCGCTCCTGTCCCCTCTGCGGCACAAGCGTGGCCGTGCCTCCGCGGAGATGTACCTGGTCCTTCGGGCAGCGCTGGGCCAGCTTCTCCTGTGATTAAACCAGCCTGAAGCCCCACTTCATCGCTCCAATCGCCCTGTCAATAGCTGGGCATTAGAGAGGGCTGCTGGCCCGATTCTTGCCCACTGACACATCCCCTGTCAATAACCTCTGGATTTAAGTCCGTGGCTTGGAGCATCTTTGCTTATCTCAGCTCCCTGAAGCACTTAAGTTCCTGGCCATCATAACTCCCTGCCTGTAAGTGGAGACAGGCACCATTAGACCCGCAGCAAACAGCCGCTGTGGCAAGTTTTGCTGCCAAAAGTGCCGTGAAGGTGTTTTCCAGCTGCTCTTTGCAGGTGATCTTCCCGCAGGTGGCCAGGCCAGGGCTTGGCCTGGGGACGGGCACAGCCCCAGAAGCGCCCACGTCCTCCTTCCCCCACACCCCCTGCCTCTGGCGGCCACGTGTGCTCGCAGACCTCTCCAGAGCGAGGGTAATGCAACGATTTATTTTTATACAGCCCATTTCATTTATCATCAGTGCATCAGAAAGCGACAATTCACCTTTCAATGCACCAGCTGAAAAAAACCCGGCTCCGCTCCGCTTGGCAGCGCCTCAGATTGGCCCTTTCCTGAGGCTGGTGTTTAGCAGAGACTTAGAGCTCAATCTGTTTAGCTTATCGAAAAGTAGCCTGAGATGTGACTTGATTACGGTGTGCAAGTACCTTCCCAGGGAGAAAACTGCCAGGTATTAAAGGGCTCTTTAACTCAGCTGAGAGAGGAATAATAAGAACTGAGGGCTTGAAGATAAAAGTCAAACAAATTGAAACTCACAATGAGGTGCAACTCTGCAGCAAGGAGGGCACAGAGCGGCCGGAGCAGGATCCCTGGGCACCTTTCTCAAAGCGATGCCCTGGCTGGGCCGCGGGCAGCAGGGCCGGGGGTCCGGGCCGGGGGGCAGCTCTGTCCTGCCCTGCACCTCTGTCCTGCCCTGCACCTCTGTCCTGTCCTGCGGCTCTGTCCTGCGCCTCTGTCCTGCGCTGCCCCTCTGCTCTGCCCTGCCTCTGTCCT